AGAAGTCTAGAGTAACGTTTCTGTCGTGCGTCTCAATAAAAGGTCTTTCAATGTTTCACTTAGATCGTGGATAAATAAGTACCTTAGAAGTCTAGAGTAACGTTTCTGTCGTGCGTCTCAATAAAAGGTCTTTCAATGTTTCACTTAGATCGTGGATAAGTACCTTAGAAGTCTAGAGTAACGTTTCTGTCGTGCGTCTCAATAAAAGGTCTTTCAATGTTTCAGTTAGTTTTGGAAACCATCCTTACTATACCTTTAATACATTACGCGTGTATAATTATTTATACGATGCCTATTGATTGCTCCGAATTAAAGTGACTAATTATAAAGATAAGATGTTTTATTATGGTTCACAAAAATATATCTATATATTTTTTAATACTAAAGAGAAGTGTTTTTTTTATTGTAAACGCTCTGACATTTCCAATAAACATACAAAAAGCTACTTTAAAAAAAAAGTAGAATTCTCGCCGTTTCGTTTCCATTCAGCTCGAGTCGTCCTTCGGTGTTGAACCACCTTAGATTCCAGAAAATATATATATAGAAAAAAAGAGGTAAACATGAGGCAGCAATAAATACGATTGTAATACATAGCGAGGATTCTCTAACATTTAAAAATAGGTGATTGAGGTTGGGCCAGTACTCGAGTTGACAGTTTGAACGTATAGTGGCTCCTCTTGCTTATATTAGTCCCGCAGAATTACCCTGGTTTCAAGGATAAGTAATATCATACGAATCACAGAAGACGGATGAGATGGGCGAAAGGGTGATTGTACTTAATATATATATATATTACAACACTGCTATTGTCGAATAGTTTATTGTAGGGATGGTGATAAAGCTGTCACGAATACAATTATCCGTCTCCAACCCGAATGTCGTGTTTTGTGTTTTCTATGTCTGGTATTCTTAATAGATCAATGTGTCACTTCGGTACAAACGCTTTCTTCCCACTGAGAATACAAACAAATATAATGTCTGATGATCCGGCTTTCAGCCTGGCCACTTGAGTCTAACCCAACAAGGGTTACCAGCGGGGTAATATAACGGTGTTTCTTGATCAGAAATGATGGTCTGGTTGGTAGACTAAAGACGAATTTTCTGAAAATGATGGAAAACCACCTTACGTCCTTTCGAGCAAGAACATAATACAAACATATATATTTGTGTTATTCACGTAACGTCTATGCTTTTTTTGGTTTGTTTTTACAATTACCAAGCTTAAGTGTTAAACATTTGAATGAAATTTAACACTCACAAATTCATTAAAATATCATGAATAGAACAAGAAATCAGTTCGAATAACAAGCCTGTCAATAGTTCTGTTATAATACCAATTTCACTTCCAGTGTAATATCCTTCATGTCGGAAGGCTTACTTATAAATCTAGAAACAAGAAACTACAACGCTAAAGCCATTCTTTTTTTTACTTTGTTCGATACCTTTTGTCACAAATCAAACTTCAGTGTTTCTTCCTTCTGCTACGGGGATTTCCTCAGCTCGTCCAGGGATGATCCTCTTAAGAACGGGTGACGAAGGCAGAACTTTCACCCTTAAACCGAGATCATGAGGAATTTGGGTTTGTGAACTACAAGTTTCCCGACATCGTGGAGAATCCTGTGAAGTTTAAAAATCGGTAACAAGAACAGCTCTTAAAAAACAAAACAAAATAGACATGTAAATCAGAAACTTTCCAGAAATTTTTCCAATGTCTTCAGGTCCTTAAGATACTGTATAATTCAAGAGCCTGTAGTTGAATACTGGTAATGACCACCGAGCAGGCATTCGAATTAATCTGCTTAAAAGCACAAAAAAAAAGGTTCCACATGAAGATATCTACATAAAATATCGTTTAAACTTTTGTGAGAACAAAAAACAAACATTTAGAGCTACTCCTGTGATGCAGTTGTTTCTACAGAAACAAAACCAAGTGTTAATGTGAAGATAGACTGGGAACAAAGACGCTAAGCCGAGGAAGACATTTCAATTTCCATGTAATGAACAACCCTATTGGTGAATTCCACACATCTTTAAAAACACTCTAGCTAAAATAAGACTGAATTTTTCATGACTTGGTAGTGATAGTTTCTTTCTGATTTTCATGACTTGGTAGTGATAGTTTCTTTCTGATTTTCATGACTTAGTAGTAATAGTTTCTTTCTGATTTTCATGATTTAGTAGTAATAGTTTCTTTCTGATTTTCATGATTTGGTAGTAATAGTTTCTTTCTGATTTTCATGACTTAGTAGTAATAGTTTCTTTCTGATTTTCATGACTTAGTAGAAGATGTTTACTGTAATTTATCTTAGCAGGGACATAATATTAATAAATGTATGTGACACTAAAGAAACATAAGGCTTTATTGATTATTTAACAACAACCATCATAAATCCTTCTTTTATTTTACACATTTAAAGTGGTTTTTTGCTAAGACTAATGTTACATGTAATTCCTAGTTTTTACACTTTAATTTGTCTTTCCATAATACTAACTAATATTATTTTTCTTACATTTTCAAAGGCGTAAAGAATGGGACGTGTATGTCATAAGTCGTTTATGCAGCTATTATGTAAATATGTTATGCAACTTATCGACTGTAACTTCTTTCCAGAACCTTCTCTTACCGTATCATGATAGAGACTAACTTCTCCGAGTGAATGGCTTGCTGGGGTAATTTCGGCTAAAGGACTAGTCCATCTGACGGTCTCTCCGGTTAGAAATGTTCCACCTTCGTTTACATTACATAGCTCTACCAGGTTTCCGTTGGCTACAAGACCAGGTAAAAGAAGTGACATTAAGGATTTTTGGCATTAAAAGTTTTTTATCATCGTACTTCGTTTATCATCAATCTTTTTGACAGCAAAATCAATACTACACAAAAAAGTTGCAAAGGGGGTATTAAGAAAACAAAACTAAAAACAACTACAGAACAGTCACAAAAAAACAAAAGAGGCAAAATTTACCCAATTTTACTTCTGATTGGTATGAAAATTAATTTGTTGGAAGAGTTATAACGATGACAAAAATTCGCGAATACATATATATATATTCCGGTTTGGTTAAAAGTGCAATGGAGTTTTTCTCAAGTTTAACTTCAAATGACAAATATAATTTGTGTTTCTTATCACGGCGTAACTGAACGTAATGCAAATCTCCTCTTCTTCAACAGCTGGTACAATAGTGTCTACAACATTCAGTTCAGGTCTGTAGAGAGTTTATGGTTATTGCTATTGTGAGTTCATGAGACAGTCGTTTCTGAGGTCATACCAACCTACTGTCCACCTAACTGTAACCCGAAGACAGATGGACTGAACTGTAATACTAATTACTCTCTGAATCTAATTTAAAGGTTATTAGTGTCTAAAAAGAATGCAATTTCTATTTTGCTCCAGGGCTATTGAGTCGAGATGAGTTCTCCAAAACCAATCTAAAGCAAAGAATTGGGCTCTAATAAATTAGATCAAGTTTTATCATCAACAAAATGGTGCACAACGAACCGTCTTTCACACTTGATTTTTTCCCGACATTTCTATCCGACCATAATCAACAAAATGGTGCACAACGAACCATCTTTCACACTTGATTTTTTTCCCGACATTTCTATCCGACCATAATCAACAAAATGGTGCACAACGAACCATCTTTCACACTTGATTTTTTTGTTGATTATGGTCGGATAGAAATGTCGGGGTTGTGCACCATTTTGGAACCATCTTTCATACTTGATTTTTTTCCCGACATTTCTATCCGACCATAATCAGAGTTTATTACTCATACGAATTATATATTTTGCAAAATGAAGAGTTACAAGTAATTACTACTTTTCTTTACATTATCATAAAATGATTTGGTTAAATCTTCATAGCAGCTAGCATTGACACTTCAACAAAAACTTTTTCAAACAAATCATCCTGATTGCTTAAGCTTGATAATTCATTATTTTTTACGTTTCATCTTAACTGGCTCAAAATTTAAACCTATTAGGTACAGAAACACGTTACATGCCAATACAGAGGATTGAGTACGTTATATAAAAACGATTTTGGAGACTAGCCACGTCGTTACAGTACATGTCGCCACGTTCGGTCATACTGCATCTTGACAATAGGCCTTGCAGTGTAGGTTTCATTACAAAAGGCTCCGTTTTAAGGCTGTCATCTCCAAACCATACCAATTAGTCCCATAAGCTTCCCTTCCCTCGTTTTAACAGTCGGATCACATACAAATCCACTGACACTGCGTCTGCGACTTCATCGGTATGTCTTCGTATGAAATAGCACGAACACTCGTTTCATTCTCCATCTGCTAGCGTATGTGACGGTTGAACGGTTATGTCTTGCAAGAAGCATTGTATTACGTGTATCGCAACAACAAGATAACTATACAAGATAAACAAGATAACTATTTCTACGAAACGACACACAGCAAGAGTATTTACGAGGATAAATCGATATTAAAGAAAACAACGCAATGTGGATGATTTAGTAAAAAAACGAGTTTTCACAGATATTCTAGCAGTTTTTCTTTTAATGATAAAATTAGATTATGTGGATCCATTTTCTGTGTTTCTTAATTAATTACAATACGATGTCTTAAACGAGTTTAATACATCCCCCTAGTGGATGAAAAAAATACTATAAATTTTATTACCTCCTTTATTCCATATCTACAACGATCTTAAACTACTTTAGTTTTTAAATTTAATACAAGCCTGTTGGTGGCCCAGTGGTAAGGCTTATAACACTTCTATTGAAGGTTCAATCCCTCTGGTGAACAGAGCAGAGATAGCGCATTATACAGCTTGAAACATATAAACACGATGTAAACATATTTATATTATCAGCGTGAGTAGCCTCTGGTGTCAACTAATGACAATGATTTTTAAGCCTTTGTCGAAGAAAATTTTATAACAATTTTATACCTTGACAAGATTAGCTAGAAATTGAATAGATAATTCCAGAGTATTTACATTTTGTTAAGCCTAACGTCATTCATTTTTATACCTCCTACGTCGTCTGCTAGAAAAAAAACGCCTATTTGTAAATTTTGTAAACTATGTTTTTCGCTATGCTGATTATAAACTATCTGATCGAAAGTATGGATTATTTTGAATTTATTATTATTAGTCAAAATAGCTACCTACATAAAACAATAGCATTATTTCATTTCTCTAAGTAAGGTCGAAAATGGTTCAATCGTTTACTTGAATACAAGGGTATAATCATCCATTTGAAGATATACAATCGTTTACTTGAATAAAAGGGTATAATCATCCATTTGAACATATACAATCGTTTACTTGAATACAAGGGTATAGTCATCCATTTGAAAACAGTGATGCAATCGTTTACTTGAATACAAGGGTATAATCATCCATTTGAAGACAGTGGTACAATCGTTTACTTGAATACAAGGGTATAATCATTCATTTGAAGATATACAATCGTTTACTTGAAAACAAGGGTATAATCATCCATTTGAAGACAGTGATACAATCGTTTACTTGAATACAAGGGTATAATCATCCATTTGAAGATATACAATCGTTTACTTGAATACAAGGGTATAATCATCCATTTGAATATATATAATCGTTTACTTGAATAAAAGGGTATAATCATCCATTTGAAGATATA